ATAATACTTGTTTAGCACTCACTTTTCTAAAATGACAATAATAGAAAAGGATCCAAATATTTCATTATGTAAATCTCTATTTTCTCTGTAAACTTTTCTTCTACTTGTGCACATTTATTACAAATCAGACTTCAGAGTAGCCCTGCAGAGCAAGCGTAAAACACACTTCATCTTTATAAGAGCTGGATGTGACAGACAGACTCACATTACCAGGCCCTCTGGTAGGATTACAAGGAAGGAGTGCCTGTTAATCATTAATTTTCTAGATACTTTGGAGAAGAAAAAGTTGATGATTAAATGGGCTAAAATGGCTATTTAAAAAAGCCAACACTCAAATCATGGCATCAAACACAGAATACATTGTTGCTGACTTGGTGAAATAAAAGAATACGTTCACTGTGATATATCATATGCACACACTAGGGAAGCTCTACGTAATCGTGAATGGAAATGTCTCAGTTGGAGGTATCTTTGTTTTTATAATTGTAATTTTTCATAATCATTCTCCATGATTTATCTATAACCCTGTCTCCCTATGGAAGATGCTATTCTTATTCATGATCTTTTCTGTGACAAAAAAACCCCAATAAAACTGCATCAATTACCAATGTATGAGCCGACTGAACAATAAAACTAATTTGCCAATGTTTCCAAACACAATGAAATGCACATGGTAAACTTCACTTCCCTCCTCCTCTCACGCACTGTGTGACATTTGTACCACTGACGTCCTCACACAATCCAAAGACACCTCCCATTTGTCTGTGTTGTAAAGTTGATTGTGGAGGTGTATCACTTTGTGGACTTCAGTGAAGTAAAACACCACAGACAGTGCAGAGGATATTGACGGCAGCTGTTCAATGTGAATGTGAGACAAGCTGTGAGAAACAGACCAGGCTGCTATCACAGTGCCTGACTCCCTCCCGGTCGCTGCTTCTGGGTAAATCCTATTTATTTAGAGTCAGGGTGGAGAATTTCATGGAGTGTTATTGATTAACACAACTGATGTAGCTAACTAGCCAATTACCCACCTGCATAGATTCAAAAGGAAAGAGGAAAAGGAGCTGTGGAGTGAGTCCGAGAGAGAACATAAATCTATGCAGAAAGTTGGGTTAATGAATGCTCCGCTGGTTACTTGTGCTAAAAGCGAAAGGTTCCAGAGAAATGGTTGAACAGAGGTCTGTAGTGCACATGCCACCACCAAGACCCAACTGTCCTCTTAATTCAATCAAGTTGCAACAAATGTCACACAGCAGTTCCCTATTGTATATATAAATATATATATAAATATATATACCTTCATCATATATAAATACCTTAATCAAAGTCCATCAATTATTCCTTTAGAATTTGGTCAAATTGTCAAAAAATGCAACATTAACAAAAGTGAAAATAAGAACATTTTAGAATTGCCCCTTAGTCCAGATCTAGGCCAAAATTTAGTTCAGTTCAGTAGTTTTTACATAATCCTGCTGCAAAAAATAAACAACAAACGAGCAGGGGCATGAACATTAACCTCTTTGCAGAGGTATCATCAAGCCAACTGCTGAACCTTCAGGTACGGATTTTCTCCTTTTTCCCACAATTCAAAGGGACTTTCTTACCTCTAGTGTCTATGTAACTATGCATATAGTTGTTTACAGATCTTCTGTCTACAACCTAATAAAATGTTATAAATACATTTCTTTTTATGGTGAAGACAGCTCTGAGAAAATACTTTTCTAGAAAAAAAATGTACATCAATATCACGTTCTGCGAACTGGGTCTTCAATAATAGCTATTATTTACATATTTCTTCAGTATAGTTATTTATACTACTATTATTGTATTGGTGTGCCAGCAGCTGGAAATAAACAGGTTAACTAGAAGGACACTCTGACAGCGCACACTTCCACCAAAGCTGATTGGCCAAAGTATTACACCCACATTACCATTCTCTTCATAAACCACAGAATCTAGATTCCCAATAAGTCGTCTTTAAAAATCAAGACATTCACTACTTTTGAGGGTTTCACTCTACACATTCCACTTGGCAGGTTGAGAGCAGGTCACATTCGGGAGAGTGGTGGGAAAAGGGAGGTCATGTAGACGTATAATCCATCTTCATTTTCTTCATCCAAAACTGGAATGAGTAAAGATGACTCTATATACGATGTAAAAACAGCCCAAAAAACTTGAAATAGTCTTACGTGTCTTTATTTTGTTTGTAATAGTGAAAATTGGTTTGTGAGTAGAAGACAAAGCCTGTTTTTAACTCTGTCCATTTGTCACTGTACCTCCCCACCTGAGGATCAAAGACCTCGGTATGACTGTATCAGGGTTCAAAATGTCAGCAGAACACAAGAACCAATTGGTCCAACAACAAGACATGTTTAATCCTCTGCCCCAATGTTTATATCACTGACGGATCATCAGCAAATATCTATTTTGTTGAAGGCTCAACAGAGAACCAGTCAGATGTTCACCTTCCTGCCTTTGAAGTGGGATAGTTATGCTTGATTTTAACAGTGGGGTTCAATTCTGCAAAAACTCACAGGACCATCAGATTGTTCTGCTGGAGCTGCTTTAAAATCCCGTGATTTTATTCATTTAAGTCACGGATAAATCTAGCATGCGTGATTTATTATTATCAATCTAGTAACCTGCATTGTAGCTGTTCAGTGACAGCCTCTCTATGGGTCAATCACCGCCCCATTTTAGGCAAATCTCCCTGCACTCCAAACTACACAAAGCTTGAATGAGGGTAAAATGTTTGATGATTTAAAGTTTGAGTTGAATCAGAAAGTTTAGCGTTAGTCTGAACATCTGACGACCTGTACCCGAAAGTTAAGTCGAACAAATTGCTAGTTTCCCTTCATATGAACGTGTGCGGCCTTTAACTCGACTGACAAGCTAACGCTGATCTTCGCTGCTGCTTTCCACCGATTTATAACAATGTTGTGACGGCTACATTTCCTCTAACACGTGTGGACTCCAGCATTTATCGCTACGGGGCGATGATTCATGTTGCTGGAGCTGAATGTCATTCGTCAAGAGGCAAAAGAGCTAACAAAGCAAAGGCCACAAAATCCTCGGCCTCGATTTTAGCTTCGCCTCACTGCCTGCGACTTGTAACTAGCTGATTTATGTACGAGCTAACGTTACCAGCCGATAAACCCACCGACAGCAGCGGCGCAAAATTGAACTCAATGCGTCGGAAAGACATACTGAATGTCTAGCGCACAGTTTGAATAGTTGTAATCGAGTATTTCACCATGAAGTGCGGCATCGTTTGTATGTAAACACTGACCGTCAGTCCTGCAGCAGAGCTTGTTGTTGTCGCCTCCGCTTCGCTAACCTCCGGGGCGGCCAGGCCGATAACGCTCACCGCCCGCACCGTCCCCCGGAGCCAGGCAGCTTGCTCCGGCTCGGGTCCACTCGCGGGCGTGCCGTCGTCGAGGAGCAAGAGCAGACGCTTCCCTATCAGTTCGAGGGAGTCCCCCATGGTTTGCTCGCAAGCTAGTTGCCCTCCGCGAGCTACCGTCAAACAGTGGAACTTCTCCGCCCGGGATGGGAACTCAAGAGCGGAACAAGACGAGCAGAAAACGGCGGCGACTTCCAATCCGACGTTAGCGCGAGAGGGGTCGTCTCACCCGGTGCATCCGCGGGCACGAAGCGGCGGACCGAGCCACGCCAGGAGGTCACGTAGTCGAGATGTTATTGTCCTCCGTGCTAACGCAACTCTCCTGCTCTGTCCGCCATTGAGCGCTGCAACAATCAAACGCACTCCTCGTCGACAGGCAGCACTGCGGAGGCACACAGCGAGTGTGCGCGGCGACAGCGACCTCTAGTGACGGGCCCGAGCAGCGCGGCCTCACCGCTGTGGGACGCTTTGTTTTGTTGGGGTTTTTTCTGCAGGATTTTCCGCAGCAGAGGCGGAACTCTCGTCTCTGAGAGGAAAAGTTCAACGGTGTCACCATCGATACACTTGTTTTTAAGATCTGAACAGAGCTGGCGTTCTTTTCTATTTGTGCCTCAGCACATGAGGGTTTTCTTCATAATTGTATTCTCACAATTGGAGTCTAAAATCGACTAATTTGCACACTGCACGTTCATTTATACACTGGTTTATGTCGAATAAGCTTATGTCAGATTTCCATCTTAAACGTCCTTTTTATTTTCTAAATAGGTATTTCTCACTCCACGTTTGCAGTCTGTGTAGCTACTGCTTAGTTAAATTAATCACAAGTTGAAATGTCCCTCAGTTTGGGAGGCTCGCCACCTCTCCTGCACACCTTTCCGGTGGGAATCAGTCTCCTGTTCCAGATTTTAAAACATTTTATAGTTTAAACATTTAAACAACACCGTAACAGAAAATACAAACTACAAAGTATAATCAAGCAGTTTAAAAAAATTATTCTAACGTAATTAAAAGTGACATAGCCCGCCTATAGTGAAATAATAATAGTAATAATAAAACTTATAACAATCATAGTCATAATCATTACCATTATAATTATCATTGTTATTATTATTATTGTTGTTGATGTCGTCATCTATAGTAGTAGTGGTAATTGTCGTGACAGTAGTGGTACTGGAGATGTTGATCATGACCACTAGGCGGTGCTATACTGACACAAACTTGAGCACTGAGGGGATGTTCGTCTAGTTTAATGACCCGTCACACACCACGATTAAAGCATGAAGCACTGGGCTACCAAGTCGCAGGACAGGGAGGAGAATACATATAATTTTCATCTATAAATAAGTAACTTCTATTTTGGTGAGTGCAAGGCAACATAACCTTTTCATACTGTGATATTTACAGCTGTGTACTTTCTGCTCTCAGGCTGAGAGAGTTTAAATAAAGAGAGGTCAATACAAGTTGAATTGTATAACTGGAACGGTGCAAATCGTAAATGTCATTTGGCCTTACAAGAGTTCTACATTCAAACTTTGCTTTTGCACCAAACATACTGCAAATCAAAAGCCATTCGGGGTAACACATTAGCACAGATGTCTTCCGACTGAAAAACACCACCATATTTATTCATGAGTTATACAAGATAAGATACATTATACAGTATATACAAAATATCAACATTAAAATATCAAAAGAGATGATAAAACAAATATTTATCCTTACTTTTTAATAAAAACCTGCATCTTGTTACAAATTGGGTCTTCATGCTGGCTCTATGCTTCAAGTCAGCTATTCATTTTTCATTTTTGTAGATGATATTTAAAAATCAGGGTGTGAGGTTATTTTTGAGCTGCATGTGTCAAGCATGGATGTGTTACCTATGTAAACTAATGCCTGTAAGTGTGCAGTATGTTCAAGGACCTTTGTGTGCACATTTCTGTGTGCACATACACATTTTTGACTCTGGTGAGCCACCATCCATGTGCACTTTAAATACATATGTTGTGGGAAATGAACAAACAATGATAGGTGTAAAAGCTTTTGAGAAAACGCAGGCCGTGTGTCTCCCTGTGAGTAACTCTATTCTCCTTCCAGGGCAATGTGTAACAATGACTTAAAAATCCCTTGTTATTGTCATTAAAATTCACCTAGAGGAGCGTACACTCTTAAAGATAATGTGCTCCATAGACGATGCAGCAAGTCTTTAATTTCCCCCAACTTGGCTGTAACAAACACAAAACAATCCTCTGCATTTTCAAGAAGATGCTCGAGATGCAGCAACGTTTCTCAGTCCAGCAGTGATAACATGAGAGTCAGTGTTGAATACTGGCAGCGTCTGTGACAGTGCACTCTGCAGGTTACTGGAGTTTCATACAGCTGTGTGGTACACACTCAGCCTGTTCCTCCAGCTCAGGGCAGGGGGTCCCAGCATTGGCCGGCCGCAAAAGGATGTAGCGGGTGCGGTGGCGAACACCACCTCTAGAGCAGGGACCCAGACACCAACCCCAGGATGACCAGAGAGACACTTCACAGTCCAGTGGTGTCACTGTGTGGAGGAGAGAGAGGGAGAAATATGTGTGAGTCATCACAAGTATCACTGATTTCTGCTGGTTTAGCATTTTGAACGCCTGAGTGGATATTGCTTTAATCATCAACATTGGACCACCCGTATAAAAGGTATGGGTACCACTCATGTAGGTCTCACCTGAGAAGCGCTGGGGATTGATAGAGTTGGGCAGAATGTGATTGGACATTGAGGATTGGCGGTCAGGTGATCCGCTCTGTCGAGTGATCCTTATGCTGGCGATTGGTGGAAGCTCCTTTAAGCGCGGATAGTAGAAGGAGTTGGCCGGGTGGTTTGGCATCTGAGATGTGATCTGAGCAAGTCGGCAAAAAAGATAAATAAGTAAAACAGTGTGGTGCGATTCTTCAGGAGAGCCGGCAGCCTTTCATCACACATTTAAATAACACAATAGCTCACTGTGAAATGTATGCTCCAATAGGATAAATGGTGTATGATGTAATAGAGGCCATTTTAAGTCAAATCACTTTAGGTCAGGCATCAGGGCCACCAACCAATCATTTCAGTGATTAGTAAATGATTGAGTTAGCATGTGAATGCATGCTGGTGAACGGTGCAGGAGCTCACCATTGTGATGTTTTCTGGGGGGCTGCTGGGAAAGTTAGGAGAGGAGAAAGTGAATCCGCTGTCCGTCCCTGCATCATACGGCTGGAGGTCAATGGTCACTTCCTGTTTCCACTGGCTGCCCTCGCAAAGGTTTATACTGTCCACACCGACGAACCAGTCAGGGCTGGGGATCAGCTTCACCATCAGAGACAACTGATGAACAGAGACACAAAGTGCTATTAGTTTAAAGTGCACTTCTGCCAGTGGTAGATCTAGTTCACAGTGAAAATAAATAATAGAGGGAGCATTAAAAGCAAAAATCGACATGGATCAAATTAACTTGATGAAATAAGTTATATATAAATCAGCCTACTCAGAGATTTATGAATGAAAGCATGACTAAGAGTGGGAGGGTTTAAAATGAAGAAGAGGGTCTTTGCAGCCAATGCCAGTCTGTCTGTGTTGGGTTGAGACTGAAATATCTCAGTAACTGCACACCACTGTCCCCATCAGGATGAATAATACTACATCTAAACAGTACATTTGCTGAAAACTGATTTCTTTCTTTCTTCTACATCATCTTAAAAATCATAACATTGGCGGCTCACGTATTGTTATTCGCCTAAGTTTACATTTGTACTTCCTGCATTTGCATGTCCTGAATGTGATTACATGTTCCTTTTTATTTTGTCAATTTGTAACTGCAAATGAAACTACACAGAAATTCCAAAGAAGTAAAGTTATAATCAATCCCACAGGAGACTAAATCACATCTGTGATTATTTTCATGGTTCCAGTCAAAAGTCGAGCTGCAGCAGTTTGGATGAGGACGAGCTGTTCGCGTCTTCTTTTGAGGAGAAAAGAAAAAGAAGTGTTGCATTGCCCCTTGTCTATTGATATATGTTGTGCTGAAGATAATACGTTAAATAAAACATAGTATTATAGGTAGAAAGCATGTGGAAGAGGTTGAACCCCTAACTGCTCCAGATGTTGCTCCATCAGTGTGTGGTTGATAGAAAATTGGAACACAGATGTGGTGTTTTGACCATTTACCACACACACACACTGTTGTTTCAGGATTTATAAACTCAAACATTTATTACAGCAGGGCCTGGGGACTGCATGTGTGTGCTCACATGCACCCAGTCCGTTTCCTGTGCAGGGTTACACAGTGTCTCCTGTGTGATGGATGTTTTCCGAGAGCTGGTGACCTCATACAGGAAGTGGCCTACGGGTCAGCACACGCTGAGGTGGCAGACACCCAGTGAACACCACAGCTGAAAACGCCTCCACACTTGTGGCCCGACACTCGAGGACCTGGGCTGCGCTCAGGGTAGGATGGGTGGGTCTGGACATCTTTGGATGTGTGGGAAAGGCTGGCCTGGAGTCGAATAGAGCGCTGGATGAAAGAGTGCAGGAACAGACATCAAACCAGCTCGCCAGGCAAAGCAGGCCACTGGTGGTAGGAGTCAGGTTGTGTTCAGCATGACACACATAGGGTCTGTTTCTTAAAAGTGGTGCACGGCAGGAAACAGAGAAGCCAAATAAGACACAGTTCCGTTGCGTTTTAAATCCTCCGCTGATCCCTTCCTTCCTTTCATTCCTCCCTCTCTAACTTTGCTCCCTCCTCTTGTCCTTCTTGCCCTGAACCAATGTCTCTTCCAAGAAGCCATCCTGCTATATCCATTGGGCCACTCAGCACGGATGTCAACTCTGGGGTATCCCTCGTCGCTGGCCCAATCTGTCCGTGGTGGTTTGCAGTACACAGGCCAGGAAGTGTTTCTGGAGCACAGACAGTTACTCAAAGCTCCCATGATCCCACTCACTTTTTCTTCATCACAGCAAATCTTTAGAGGAGCCCTGGAGAGAATGAGTCGATCAAGAAAACACGCAGCAAAGTCTTGTGGCACAAGCACCTTAATGCTCTGTTGACGCCGTCCCATTTTCTGTGGTGCCGGAGATCATACAGAGCGCAGGATCTTCCACAACAATGCCAGCTGGATCCCAAATGGTACTTATTTAATGGTACTTGTTTGGTGTTATCTGTCTGTTTTGAATTACACACTTAACAGCAATAGCAGGAGGCTGATGAATTATGGAGATAAAAATCATATGTGTTTGGGATTTTTGGAGCATTGCGTATGAATGTTTTGGTTTGTGGGCAGGAAAGATGGGATGGTATTTATAAAAGAGAATGTGAGAGACAAACAGACAGACAGGAAAGCAGGACGTCAGACATAGCTGTCAGCAGATCATTTGGCCGGTGACATTCAACACAAACGCACAATAATCATGTCGTGTGTTGACTTTTTTTTTAATAGGTTTTTTTTTGCCATGTTGTCCACTAATCTAAAACAGACGGAGTCATTTTAAAGCAGACGCAGACATCCTGTAACCAGACGACAAGCTTTAAGCAGCTGCCCATGACGAGCGCTTAACAAAGATGCCCTCTGACAGGCTTGTTTATGATATTTAAGGACCTTCGGGTTCAGGCAGTGGAATAACTAATAAATAAATATAGGTCAACAGACTTTCAGGCAGGAACCCACCAATTTCTTAGAGCTCCAGTAAATATCGCCCCCTTCCTCTTCCCCTCTCATTTATCAGCTGCATATGCTTTACACATAAAGGAATACTTTATTTCTAGATTTAACTCTGTGAATGGTGCAACACATTTTTCCACAGAGCCATACTCAAATACTTTGCCTTTGTTTCAGGATCCATGCCTCCAGCCATGACCTTGGTTCCCAAACTCACTGAACATTCTGCACCAGTGGTACACTGTAGTCCGGCGACCAGCAAGGTTACAACCCAGTCGGACACGGAGCCTGCATGCCCAACACAGTCCAAATGTATCAACCTATTTACTGACCTTGAATACGGGGTCTTATGGGACTTGAGCAGTTTAAATTTACTATATTCAGTGGGAATATTCCGCATTTTGTTGTTTTAGTGCAGCATTTCCTTTTTGTGTTTCCTGGAGGAATGTTTCCATGCAGAGCTGCAGTAACACTCTCCGGCAAGAAAGGCAGCACGTCAAGGCCAGTGTAGTTATATTACAGCAGCCAATAACTCACTGCACATTTCCAAAGCAAATGTTGCACTTTGTTTATAGTTTGGATTCTAAAAGAATAGTTTAAAGATTGTAATTAAGCAGTTTTGTATTATTCGGTTTTATTGTTGGGCCCCGTGGGTCCCTTTTGCCTTTGGCTCTGCAAAGTCCCTTGAATAAGATTTGAAGGAATAATAAGAAACTAGGGGGAATATTTGCTTACTAAGATTTACATGAGAAATTCAATATTATTTTCCCATCTCTATGTTAAATATGGGTCTCGAGCCATCAGTTGGTTAGCATAAAGATTGGATTGAGGAATTAGCCAGGATCTGTCCACCAGCAAGTCCTTGTGTCTTTTGTTTGATCCACATAAACAGTGAAGTGTAATAACCAAAAGTCTTTGTTTTTACTGGGGGATTTGGTTATGTCAGATGACACAAGACTCCAGGAGGTCACTACAACAGGTCCAGACAGAGCCTAGTTTGTGGTTAGTTTGCAGTCTTCATGCATGAAGCTAAGCTAACATGCTGCTGGCTCCAACTTCATGTTCACCATACAGAATCAATCTTCTCCTCCAGCTCTCAGAGACGAAGGGGAATAAGCATATTTCACAAATTCTCAAATGATTCTTTTAAGTGAAAATCATCCTGAGTGTGCAGAGTTCAGTGTGACAGGCAGCAGACAGAGTGCAGACTGGTGCAGGATGGATGTGGGCTTTTCTGGCTGCAGGGCTTCAGCACTTGAGCTAAACATAGTCTGACTGGATGGTGGAAAGACGAGGTGAAGTGTTTGGTCGTTACGGGGAGGTCACCACAAGACTGAGTAGATTCAGTCAAACAGATGGTTTGTGTGACTAACTGTGTCTGAGCACTTGTGTGAATTTCATCTACTTAATTTTTATTCGTGCCTACCAGTGAGCTCCGGGGCTGCATGAGCAGCTCCGTGGAGCTGTGCCCAATGCCGTCAGGGATACCGGCCGTTCGGTACATGGCGCCAACTGTGCGTCTTTTCCTGGCTTCCTTGGCCGCCTTCATCAGCTCCACCGTCAGCCCAAGTTCAGCAAAGATCTGAACCCCTGCACTGGCTGGGGCGCCCTCCTCCCACAGCCGAAAATGACGAGTGTGGCTGACCGCTATGGGGAGAAAAGAAACACAAAAAAAGAGAAGAAGACAGGAGTAAGATACTTATTCACTGGAATTCATATCAATGTCAGTGAGGTACCACAGAGCCTCAGCCAGACGGTGAGATCATTTCCACAACGGAGCCTGTATTTTACTTCTTGCACCGATAATTCTGAAGGAATTGCCAACATGTGTGTCTTTGGCATTATTGCACAGTTATAGTTTTTTCTATATCTCTATTTATCACAGAAAAAACCCACAACACAGAGTGGAGCAGCCAGGAGGAGGTCAAGCTCTCTGAGTTGGCCGCCAGACAGAGGACAAAAAACATAATGAAACTTGAGAACAAATGATTTTCTTTCACTTCAGTCCAACAGAACCATTTGATTCACATTCTCATATTCAGTTCTGGTTATCTATGAAATCTGTTAAGAATCAAGAGGCTGATTTAGGTTAAACTTGTACCACAGGTTCTGGAGCTCAGTACTGAAACCCACAGAGTCACTGGCCTGCACCAGTGGTTTTAAGGGCAGAGTAAGGTTAGCCAGAAACACGCTGACAAATGCTCTGATGATTCTGCCTTACCTCACTTTTCAGAGCCACATACACAACCTCTCATTTACACTTAAACGCTCCTGACACATGTATTAACACACACACCGCACCGAGCCACACACACAACGCGCGCAGCACACTTCACACACTATCTAGTTTCTCCCCAAACTGCCATTACTTATGCACTTAATTACATTTCCATCCTAACAACTTTCCCACAAGCATCAAGACCTTGAAACTCGATAACACGTCACGTTTAAGCCCCACCAAGACGTTAACGTCCTTGTCCCGCCCTTCTTAAATTGCATGGGATTTTTCTTTGGCCATGACAAACTCCATTCCCCCTTCCCCCGGGCAGTGTCCTTGGTACTTCAACTCCACAGAATTAAGCAACACAAACCCGTTGCAGGCACACTGGCAGCGGATCTGCCATCCAGTTCATTCTCTAAGACAGAATAGAGGAGGCCTGAATGTCTTCTTGTTCTTCTTCTCTCTGAGGTAAGCGGTCTGACCCCACGACACCCCGACTATCATCACCCACGTAACCCCCGAAACCTCGAGTCCAGTCTTTGCTGCCAATGCCGTGGTGCACCAGCGGAAATGTGGGAGAGAGCGTAGGACTGAGTTGAAGCAACAGAGAAATATTAAAGATACCACGAGACAGGAGTTAGACAAACAGAGAGAAAACCCCATCTGGTAGCATTTAAACTGTCTCTCTGATTTCTCTCTGCCTCTCGCTGCTTTGCTCATTAACATCTCTCACCCCTGCGTGTGTGTCTGTGTGTGTGTGTGTGTGTGTGTGTGTGTGTGTGTACACTGATGACAAGGATCTAAACCTCTGACGCATGGCAAGAGACAAAGGTCTTAAGTTGAAGCATGGACAGAGTCAGTGTCCCATCCCTATCCTTCGATCAGCTCCACTTTCGCATGGAAACTAATAATGCCTGAGTCCTTGCTGTTCCAAATTCAGTTATATTCAGCTATTATATATCAGACATTAGAGGCAAAATGTTCCAATGACCAATTTCTCTGTCCCCCTGAGTCTCTCACCTATGAGCTTGGACCACTGTGCAGGGGGACGGAACAGTGGATACTGTTTGGGGAAGGCCTGTGGACTCCAGTGACCTGTAAAGACCAGGATGTAGGAAGCAGGACCCTTGGCTGTGCATTCGGTCCCATCAGGTGATCTCGAAGGCCCAGCGAGAGCGAGGCACAGCTTCAGAAGTACGACCAGCAGCTGCTGCAGCCAACCACAGGTCAGGTGCTCCGATGACATCATCTGGAAGACATGGAGAAATGAAGAAGGGCTGTGTGAAAAACACCATGAAATGTGTGGTGCATTTTAAAATCAAAAGTACCTTGGCAAGTAATCTTCGGCAAACAAGCGAAAGGATCCTAACGTGTACATTTAGGGAAACCAAACCCAGACAATCCTGGAAAATCAGTACAAGAGGGGAAATTCCACACCCGTGACCTCATATCACAACACTTTTATTTTATCATGGAGCAAAGCTCTTTGAACCCATCGACCCACAAACCTTTCATTTAAAAAAAATGTGCCTACTAATCTTCTGGGCCGACCCGAGCATGTTTTGGTGCAGAGCCAGTCGGTGGCCACACAGTAAAGCAGTTAACATTCATCGCTGTCATTGTAACGTCTGCCGCAGAAGTCAGCCCCGAAATAAAACAACGCGTCTGACATCTCTGAGGGTAGATGCAAATCCCGTCTGCTCTGCTGCTCTACTGACCTCACCGACTGACCATCCACTGACCGCTGGCTGCTGAGTCACACTCACCCTCTATTCAGAGAGACAGATTCTGTCCATGGCACGTGCATGTTAACTGCTCAAAACACATTTCAGCCTGACCACTTGTGCTTTTGCATCCTCGTTTATTTGTACCTGAGGCTTTACTTTGTGTGTTTTACAGTGCCCACGGACATGAGAGTAAATCAAGGGTTTGCCGTTTGTCTTCCTGCTCTGTCTTCCCTCTGCACTCATCCCCTCCCAAACACTTCCTTCCATCTCATCCTCCTCTCCACCTTTTCCATTCGTATTCTCATCCCACCTCTGCTCTCCTACCCAACGATTTTCTGTGCCTGGTCCTACAGTAGTGTGTCTGTGTCTGTGTCAGTTTGTGCGTCTGTCACAAAAACTCCATCTTAAGATGAAATTAGCTTTTTAAGAGTTTTTAGATGTGTGCTCATAAACCACTAAGAGAAGGTTGCTACTGAGGTGACACAGCTTCTAAAAAAAACTTGCATACAGATGATGTGATACGTGCAAGTGACATGTCTTCCCCTCAGTGTAGTTAAAGAAAAACCTCAAAGTACTTTGGACAAAATTGCCCTGCAAAGAATGTTATTTCACTCAAGTCGTGTTTTAATGGCAGATGTTTTAACTTGGAGATGACAGTTTATGACCTGATGACAGATGGATTTTTCTGTGTTACAGAAAGGGAGAGTAATGTTTCACGGCCTTGTGTGGCGATTCAACGGGTTACTATACTATAACTAAACCTCAAAGCAGCTGCTGAATGCAGACAGTTAAATTTGGTCGACCAACACACACACACACACACACACACATAAACGAACATGGGTATGCACACACACTCACACAGACACACCAACGCACATAACACTCATGTCCAGCTGCACATTGTCCCTGAAATCTATTTCCAGAGGTCAGATAGTATTACTCTGCCAATATAGCTGCAAAACTCCAACTCTGACACTTTTCTGTCCACGGCCATATATGTCACCGAGTGTTTTACTAATTCACTCTCTCCATTAAATGTATATTAACGACTGCACAGTCTCACAGCCATAAAAATACCTCAAGTATGGAGACACACAGCGCCAAGCTATAACTTCACTGCTCGGTCATCTGATCATCTCGCTGGCTGCTTTGCAGGAGGCAGACGAAGCTCCAGGGTCAGACTTGCTCCAAAACTAACTTTCTTTCATAAAAATGACATCATGATATTATTCTCATTCTTGGACTCTGCTCTTGTGGTCAGGAACAGACACAGGTTAATGGGAGCTGACCAGCTGGAGCTTGAGATTTTTTACATCAGTGTGTGATGTTAACTGCTACTGTCCCGTCTGCTCCGTCCACTATGTTCAGTATAGAAAAGGAGGTCAGCCCCGTCACAGGCTGCTGTAAAGATACAGTTGTTTTTCTGTCTCTTTCACACACACACACACACATAGACACACGCACGCACGCACGCACGCACACACACACGGAACACATTCCAGACAAAGAAGATCAACGTTTATAACTGGAAATTCACAGCATGCAACTCAGCAGTAAGTGATTTTCAGTTATATTGTAAGGCAGGCGTGTTCCTGGTTGTCATACAATCTCTGTTGCTGTAACAGCCATTAATCACACAGAGATTTAGCTCAGCAGATCCTTCGACCTTCCCTCTGAACTTGCCACACTGACACAATAACACACTTAAGAGACATTTCTTGAATTCCCACACTGACACACTGAGCGTTTTCAGCCAGCACAGAGACCATGCAGCCAGCTGATGTGTGCTGCTGGAAACACATGCAGCAATAATAATAATAACAGGCCATATGGTATTTATTGAGTCATACAGAGGCAGACTCGTTCGACATGAAGTTTACACTCACTCCACAGACCTGTTCTCGTCAGTCAGCTCAGATAGACACACGCTGCAGTTTTTTTTTCTGTCAGGCACATGACACAATAAAACCAGGGGATGTGGCGTTGGGCCAAATGTACCCGCTGCCGCCCCATGGGCAACTTCACTGTGCAATTACAGCAGCCTCATGCAGAGATAATGCTCACATTAGCTTCAGCTCATATACATAGGCATGCAGGTATGTACGCACAAACACAGATTTGTGCACACAGAGGGGGGTATGTTCATTTTAACAAGGGGATAGCAGGGAGGTAATTTGCTGTATTGGCAAAGATTCTTCTGTAAAATCTTTTGTTGGGGTGTGGTGGTGGATTCAGGAGTTAGTTTTGTTTAATTAACGTTTTTTATTTTTTTACACTCCCCTGAGCAATGGGCATCGAACTGTACCATTTCTCTTTCATGCTCAGACAGACTGGACACATTTGGTCAGGCATGCATTACAACAGGAGTCCAGATACATGACTGGTGGAGTGGAAATCATGAGCAGTGCAGGCAGCAGCACCTCAGACAGAGAGAGAGGTGAGGACGGTGCATGTGCAGTCATGTGTACATTATTTTTACTATCGTATGGAAACAAAATTAACAGAACAGTTTTGTGGTCCTGGACTTGCACAGTTGATGCTGCTTTATACTTCTCAAGGCTCAACATAAACACCTGTAGTTAGTCATGATTAACTTGCAGAATTCAATTACCACTAATATTTATGTGAGTTATAGATGAAACCAGTCTTAAGCATGTGAAGTCTACATGGAGTTAAAACTGAACTGCTGCAACATTAAATATATGTTTACATGTTAATACTTAGTTAATATTAGTCATAATAATCCCGTAGTGTAAAACATATAAGAATATATCACTTTACAACATAATTCATATTCATTTTACTTCAGGTTTCACATAAGTATATTTTTAATTCTATCACATACTTTCACTCAAACTTTAATGCACAACTTTGACTTGTAGTATTCTAAACTGTTCTACTTCTACTAGCACTGCACTGCTTTTACTCAAAAAAACAAGATCAAAGAAACTGAGCTGGGTCTTGTGATGCTAAAAGAAGTCAGCCAGCGAGAGGCCGGCAGTGCAAAGAATGAATGGAGGCTCAGTGTGAGAGAGTGTGAGTCCTACCTGTGTTGGATCAGTCAGTGAGCGAGAGAAGCCGCAGCAGAGGATACAGATCCGCTCACTCCTCTCTTCCTCTCGACTTTCAGCAGCTGTCCGGTGCAGCCTTATCAGCCTTTATCACTCTATCCTCTGTCTTTATCTCTGTCTTTTTCTCTCCTCCTCCTCCCTTCTCACTCTCTCATTGTATCTCCTCATATTACCCTCCTCTCTCTTTCTCTCGCTTTCTCCTCCCCCTCCTTCTCTTTTCTCCCCCTACCTCTCCTTGTATGGAAAGGCGGTGAGCTGCCTCTCTCCTCTCCTCCACTGTCCCCTCTCCTCTCTCCCTCATGTCTTTCTCTCCCAAGTCTTTCAGTGGCTGTGTAAACTCAGCAGCACCATTGTTGACTAAGTTATCAACACCACATTGGCCTTCATTAGCACGTGCAGCTCATCATTGTGTATTTTCTGGCCCCTGTTCTTTAGTGTGGTGGTCTGGTGTAGAGTTGCAGAGTAATGGTCGTAAAATACAGGGAGAAATGAGGAATAGGGCTTTTACGCACGCGGTGGAGTCTGGGCAGAGGGAAAGGCTTTTTTATTTCTGTGGTTAATTTACTGATTTGACAATGAAGACAAATCAAAGAGATTTAAATCCCCCCCCCCTTCAAATAGTTCTACTGTGGCAGATCCAGCTGTGATCTCAGCTGAGGAACCCCTTCTCTTCAGGTCAGAGTGTGTGCGTGTGCGTGTGCGTGTGTGCGTGTGTGTGTGTGTCGGAGATGTGTGACCACCAGTTCCCACAGCTGGTACACACATGGACAACCAGGGAGGTTTCTGTTACCGGCCGCAACTCACTTATCAACGTGTCAAGGCTTAGCCTAAACGAAGCAGTGTTTTCCTGTGCGTATGATTGTGTGTGTGTGTGTGTGTGTGTGTGTGTGTGTGTGTGTGTGTGTGTGTGTGTGTGTGTGACAGGAAATTTAGTTACTTTCCTGATTATTATCCATGGCTATGACGCAGGGAAGCAGTCAGCCTATATTTCATCAAACACTCACCATCAACTCAACCTGGCTGACATCAGCCAGACCTCGACAGACGACTCTGAAACTGGAGAAGTGTAGACCTTTAAAGCGCCTCGGCCACGTCACTGTGTGGCTCGGCCATGCACCTTCAAGGAATGAGTGGAGATGAAGAGGAGAGGGGGAAAGGAGGAAGAGGAGAAGAAGAGTTAAGTGCGGATCAGGTAACAATTTGTTCTTTGTCTCCTGCAGTCATAGACAATCAAATAAACAATTATATCCTCTTTCCTGTTTATCTATCTGTCTGTCTGTCTGTCTGTCTGTCTGTCTGTCTGTGTGTCTGTCTGTGTGTCTGTCTGTTGAACTAGTTGTAAAGTAGGTTACAGAAAAGCAGACTTGCCTGCTGATTGATGACAGTGATCTCAGTACACCACTAACACACTGTCAAATACCCTGTTTGTGTGTGTGTGTGTGTGTGTGTGTGCGTGTGTGCGTGCGTGCGTGCGTGTGAGCACAAAATCCCTCCAAATGTGAACTTACACACATGTGCCTGCAAACCAGGAATCAATTATTACTTTGATTGCACATGCTTTATTATACCACACTCTGCAGTGCGCACACACACACACACACACACACGTATTAAGGTCACCAGATACAGCAGCAGAATAGCTACAGGTTGCTTGACTGAAGCAAATCTCCAAGATAGTCGAACGATTTCTTCCTGTCAATCACACGCTCATGTCAGTGTGTTACTCGAGCCAGGTGAGTGAAGCAATGAGAGGAAAACAATGAGCTAATCACAGATAGTTTGGCCGAGGCTGTGCCAGCTCCGGTGTCTCGGTTTCTCTGTAGACCCTTTAAGACAGACAGACGGACGGAGAAGAGGAAAGAGCAGAGGAACAGATGGATAATATTGACAGTGAACCAGTGATCCAATATTAGAAAGGAGAACGGAAAAAATACACAGACGGTTTGGTAGCGTTTTGTAAGTTGTTTTTTCCTGTATGAGGCAAGAGTATCATTTTTTTTGGATTGTCAGAAATATCATGGAAAAAAGACCAAAATCAACAATGTGTCAGTGCATCTATCTTATCCATCTGATATCTTTACTCAAACTCCATTAATATACACCAGTCCACACACTCGGTGGTGGCATATGTGATATAGGTCAATATGACCAGGGGCAGATCCAAGAGCCGCTATTCTGTCAGTACTATACGAACTAATAAAGAACAATCTATGAGGAATAGTTATTTTCTAAGAGCTATGAAGCTGACAGTAAACATTAATGACTTAACTGTGCACCTTACTGGTATAGTGCACGGATGCTGGAGATAAAATTGGCCCCTCTGCGAAAATTGTGCCTCTGAGCCAATTCCAATGGCTGGAAAAATATTTAATCATTCTGAAGACAACTAAAGACAAATATTTACCCACTCAGCTTTGGGGCTGGCAGTCCAACCCCTCTGAGTGGGACAGGTCATCTGTCTGGGGAATAATTCATCACATACACACACATCCTGATCTGTCAGACTGTTCCCTCTCCCTACCGGGACTCAAGATAGTTTTATTATGTTGATGTTCTGGGCCTATTTAATGATCTTACACAACCTTTGACCCACTTAGAGCTGTTTTCTCCCTCTTTCTGCACCCATCTACTTAAGCCAGTATGAGTAACTGACGCAGGATGATGGCGATTACTGACCCAGCAGCAGTGCAGGAACCAGTGCTCTCATTTTAATGGTTTGACCACTGTCTTCCCAGAATTTATGAAATCTGTGAGTGTTTTGAGCCCAGCACATCTTTCTCTTCTTGAACTAAACAAACATATAAAAGAAATGAGGCTGCACAGCATGGAGGCTGACGGGACTGTGGCAGCGGGAGAGGTGGATGATGCTCCCCTGCTCGACGTAGCACATTCCTGAATCGGTCCTGGGAAGAAACGGGTGGAAATGTGTTTGAAGTGTGTGTGAATCAGGTTTGTTAAATACTGCTCACATCCTGGGCCTCCTTCAACTCCACACAGTTCTACACACGCTGTTATGCAATACTGAACGTCGACTGTCCCTCACTTTGAAACTGGCTAGAACAACATGGAGTAGTATGTTTGGTGATTTGTTCTTTTGTCACCTGATCTCTCCGTCTTATTAGTTCTGACAATGGTCTCTAGACTGAAATACAACTACTGTTGATCTCCAGAGGATGAGCCCTCTGATTTATATACATATATCTTGCACACAATGATCTTGAATACTTGTGGTTTAGAGAAAATGATTCAAATAAATATTGTCATGAAATTTGGCAAAATTCAAAATTTTATTTTGGTACTTGTACTGACAGATTTTTTTCCCCAACTTAAAGAATAAACATTGATTGGTGACACACAAATAAATTAAGTTGTTTTCAAATCAATGGTATTACTGTCCAACTATATTGAACAAAATTAAGACATTTTTGTATTAATCAAAGTATATTTTAAGTATTCTTTTCTCAGTTTGAAACATCCTCAATAAAGACAATATCCCTTGTTCGGCTGCATCAATTTTGCTCATTTTAATTTTCCGTAAAACAAAATATTGACATCAGTGCAAGTTACAGGACTGAAAATAATCACACGCCGGACCTGAGGGTCCCAGCTTCAGCCAGGGCTGCACCAGCTCAATCCAGTGAGTGGACCTCAGCCCTCAGCCCCTCCACTCCATTTTAACAGCAGACTGCTGGTTTCACGCATGTGGTAGCAATTTTGGGGCTGATAATACTCCGCCCTCCTCTGCCCTGTGGGTGGAAACCCTCTTTCCCGCACTCCCCACCGCGTCCTCCCACTTGTAAAGTCGTGCCTGTTATGGCACAGCACAACCCCTCATTGGCATAACAGAGAGCTGACAATCTGTGGTGGCAAACTATTTTGTTAATGGCAAAAGCACAGTAAACATAGCTCATGTCCTCAAGCTGCTGAGCGCAATTACTGGGAATTACTGACAACTGGCATTAATTGCGATCAAGTCGCTGACCGCTATAATCAAGCACAGATACTCCTTCAAATGAAATGAGCAGAGGCAGATTTCACAACACAAAAATGATTCTTAGTACCAGAAGAGAGAGCGCTATCTGAAAAGTTAAAAACAACAGCAAACGTTTAATTTTTTAGATTTTATTAAAATACGGTGTGGAGTTTACCATCGGAAGTTACCATCACAAACATGATTGTTTCTAATAAAAAAGTAAACAAAACAAAAATAAAGCTTAAGAGCCTAGTTACAGGAGACCTTTTTTTCATTGTTTGTTTTTTCTTTTTGTTTTTGCAGTCTGGTGAAAGAAAAAAAAAAATCACAATGAGAGTGAGTGGAAAAAAAAATGTTCACATGTTGTAAAAATACATTTCCCAATTTTAACATTACACACAGTCACTTTCAAACATTCATTCATTCATTCCTTGTTAGATGGTTAGATGTCAGTGCTAAAAGAAAGCAAAACAGAAAAAAAAGTTCAGACCTGTGCACGAAGGGGGATTGAGAGGGTGAGGAGTTTCCAAAAAATACACCAAAAAAACGCAGGAGGCTGTTCTACATTCTGAGGGCAGAAAACTTGGGAAGAGGGACACGAGACAGAGGGCGACTGCTGGAGGATATGTGTGCATTTGAACCCTGAGAGAAATAGTGACCGATTCTCACCGGAATTTTCTGTTTTTTTTTTTTTTTCCTTTTCCTTTCTTTATTTTCTTTGAAAGACCACACCAGTGTCCGCGATGCCCTCCCACTATGGCAGCACTGTGAAAGACACTAAAAGTGCCACAGAGAGGTGGTGGTGTGTGTGTGAGTAGGGAGGGGCATTCTCACACCCTAGAGTGAAATATCAGCTGAGGCTTTGTGAGCATACACACTGTGCTTATCTTTTAGCCTGTGCATGTACACTACCGGGCTGACTTAACTAGTAAAAGCTCGGAGACAACAAATAATAATAACCTGAATGCACATTAAGAATTCACACTGGAGTTATGATCCGAAAATGGTCAAAACAAGGCTTAATGTGGTTCATTACTAAAAAGAAATGCAAGGTGCTGCGGATTTAGGCCTGACGGGGTCTGAAGAGCTTTTTGCGGAGCGGCCGTGATCGTGGCCCGTACTTTTGACTGGGTGCGTCTCCTGACTTCACCTGCTGTGGTCAACTGTATTAAGGCAGTGAGTGGTTCCATGGCGACTTTCTATAACAGCTACTTTAACAGGGAGAGAATAAGTAAGGCCCAGAGGAGATCAGCTGGAAAGGACAGTTGGGATAAGACAATTTATATATATATATAATTTTTTTAAATCACCAGGAGAGGGATCTCTTGTTTTCTCTGAAATGTCTCAGTACAACATGTAGAACACAGACAGCATATCCATAAAAACAAAATCCTACAATAAAAACAGAATGGTTTTCATAACAGTGCACTGCTGAACTGAAAAAAATATATATAATCATCATCATCAACAGCAAAATTTAAGATTACTATAATGCTCATAATCCAAACTATGGGGGTTATCTTTTTTAAAAATATATACTCATCACATGACAGAGGAGCCTAGCATCTCAGGACAAGGACATGCTCCATGTCTCTCAGACTCTGAGGGAAAAACTGTACATCACTGGAAACTGACACGACAAAAATGGCAACTCGAGTTGAAAACACTCTGAAGGGGGAGAAGGCCGAGGAGCAGAGGGGAAACAGCATGATGACACCAATTTTTTAAGCCAATAGGATTTCCCCTAAAAAAATGACCTCACATGCACTAAAGATAGAGCAGCTGGACAATAAAGAGGGGGGGCTAAACAAAACAAAACAGCATCTACAACTACTGTTCTAATAAGAACTAGCAGACCACGCTGACTGCCTTTTGTTTTTTTCTCTTTCCTCATTTTTCATTTGCCAGAAGATGGATGTTGAAACACAGCAACTACAGTCTGAAGTCTAAAGATGTGAAAGCGTTGTGCTGAATTTTCCGCAATGAGGAAATAAAGCTAAAGGGAAATAGACACACACTGGTTTTGAAGCCTGAGTATTCAGTGACCTATAGCGAACCGACAAAGATTTTGTCAATTTATTTCACGGGGCAATGTTTTTATTTATTGTATCATTACTGCTACAATTTCACAACCCTTCTGGTGAAGAACAATAAAGAAGTATCTAGAAAATCTGTACAAAAAAATAAAAGGGTATGCACGGTACATTCAATATCTGTTACTGAGGTACTAGAAAGGTGTTCCCTTGACACCAGGGCAACAGCGTTAAAGAGTTACTCCTAGGGACTATTCCTTTGGAAAGACAACAGCTTGTTATCATAGCAGGGTGAGGGAACATACAAACACTCACACAAAACCACCGGCAGGCACGCAAACACACGCACACACATGCGCGCACGCCACTGTCATCAATAAAGCCAGCATGCAAGAATCGCTGTCCCCTTGCTCCTACAGGGAATCTAATCTTGACTGTTCCCTCCCGCTTAAAGGAATTGGTGGATGCATACTGGTTGATGAGCAGATGTGTGGAGTCAGTGATGACAGTGGGAGAAGAGTGGAGGGTGGGTGGGTGGATGATTGCAGAGTGGTGGAGGTGGTGTGGTGC